ACACAATCATGATGGGATTTCAAAATGGTGTTTAAATGCCGATCATGTCTCATGCTGAAGTTAACAGCTTGACATTTAGACGGATTAAGTAGGAGACCATTAACAACAGACCAACGATCAATGCGAGATAAAAACTCGTTCATTTCTATCTGATGTAAAGAGGAAGAGATAGGCACACACACAGTGAGATCATCCGCATATTTCACAAAAGTGTTTACTGTGGAGGATGGCAGATCATGCAGAAAAAAAGAGAAAAGAAGAGGTGAAAGAACAGCTCCTTGTGATACACCTTCATGAGACAGCAGTGACTCTGAACGCTTTCCTCAGAACACTGTGTACTGTTCCCTTTCAGGGAGGTAGGAACATAGCCAGTTGGTTATCCAGCTGTCAGTGTTGAGGCTGATTAACTTGTTAAGTAAACGTTGTCTTGGTATAGAATCAAAATTCTGAAGTATAGTCCAGGAAAGCGAATCGAACATACTTTTAACCCTATTCTAAGTTGAACACTATATTGTGATGCAGAACGGCAACGGCATCTCAGGTGCTTCTTTTGCATCTGTAAGCAGACTGATACGGATCAATGTGTTTTTTTTATCGCAGGCTGAATTGAAGGTGCCTATAATTTTTCCATTGTTTTGAGAAAGGGTGAAGTTATTGCGATAGGTCTAAATTTCACATTCTCATCACCACATACTTTCCTGGGTACAGGGATTATCTTCATCTTTCTCCACAGATAGCGCAGATGATGTGCAGTCTGGAGTCACGTAGATGTTGGTAATATAAACATGTTTATGTTTATTCAGATGTTTCGGACGGCATCTTATAGTCAGACAGCCGATAAAGTCATTTGAAAATTTGTAACACGCAAACGTAGGTCGACACCAGTTCACGTTTTTAAACGTAGCTACACCGCCGCCACACCTTTATTTATTGTTTGATAGATCCTGACGATACATTTTTAAATCACTTATGGATACTACGCAGTCGTCCTGTAAACCATTTAACCAAGATTCTTGAATTGTGATGACACCACAATTACGATACATATTTTGACTTAGTGGAAATTGAAGATAGCCCACCTTGTTAATTAGTGATCGGCAGTTAGAATTTAGCATCTCGGGAATCGACATATGATTAATGTCCATTATCTTCAACGCATATTGCAAACAACCACGATGTCTTTTATTGTAGTTTTTTGTAACTTGTGCAGCGAAAGATCTTAGGCATTCCATAAACGCGCCTGTAAAGGTTATGCGATTAATGGACATAATGAGACGTTAAAACAAAATGAACAACATATAACTTCTTGAAAAAGGTAGCCCAGATATTCAAGCAGGCCGCCGCTAATGACAGTAAGGTCGTGTCTGACTAAGCTTAAGGTCACGGCAGGTTCAGTATGTGGTTGTTAACTTTTTGTGTGTCTGCTTGGGAGGATTGATGGAATCCCTGCAGATAGATATTTGATCCAATCTTGTTGAGATTATTCTGTATTTGATTTGACGGCAGTCACATGTCTACGTTATTTAAAGAATTTTCAGTGGCTTAAATTTTGAACGCTGTTGTCACTGGCTATAACTTTTCAGTATTTCATGGAAATATCGCCAGACACGGGTTTTGTAGATTTTCACTTACTATTGGTTAGGCTACATAAATAGGTTGTTGTCAGGATGAGGGTACGTTTGGATCTTGTAGTCAATGGTTGCGACAGAATTATCAATTACCATCTCCGATGTTTATGTTGGTTTTTAATCGATCAGCTAATCGACTAAACATAGTGTGATGATCCACGCGAGGCTGTTTGTTTTTCAATGAATGTGGATTTTCTGCAGTGATGAGTATTCCAAACCGTTTTCGCATGTGACCTCAATATTTTATAAAGTCATATCTTATTAAATAACACTGTCAAATCTGTTTGAATGTAATAAAATCATAAGCATTTACAAAACTTACAAATAATTTATTGCCCTCAAGAAGTGAAGGGTGCTACTTTACCGTGTTATGATGATTTTAATCACAGTTTTTATTACATTTCAACAGTGTATAAATAAGTAGGTCAACAGTCAGACTGATAAATTTTGAAAAGGCTTTTGTATTAATGTCTTAACTAAGAGAATATAATTTATCAAAAGAGCCTATGCAAAGTGATCAACTTTTTAAATGCCTGCATCTTGCACCTTAACTAGCCTTCTGATTTTTAGGTATGTTTGTAATACCCTGAACTCAGGGATTTCTGTTTCATTTTTGCTACTGGGTATTTCATCGGTATCCTTCCGAGCTGGAAGAGTTCAAGGAAACCAAAATAGATAATAACTTCTTTGATATAAGTTAACATTACTTAAAAGAAACTTTTGAGGTGGTACTACTAAAAAAATGTAAGTACAAACCAAACAAATATATCTGAGCATCATATTTTTCGACAGGCGCTGAAACCAATTTCAATGAAACTCGAAAAATTCTAGTTTCATTTTATTAAAATTGTTATCATCAGTGGAGGAGCAATGCTTGACTCCTAAATAAATCGATTTGATTTGATCCACAGATGACTAATCAACTATTAAGCAGGAATAACACGAGAATAATAAAAAATAATATAAGTATTTACTGGTGTGTAGTGTTCGAATGAACTAATGATTCCTTTGTATTTGTTGAATGCTGCGTTTCGAATTCCAAATACAGTACATTCGTTCGTCACTATCTAATATTTTATGATCCAATTGAGTTATTTCTGGGATTCTTAGTTCACGCTATAATTCAAATACTCCTAATTATCACAAGTAGGTAAATAAAAAACTTCCGAAAATACTACTGAATGTGCTCCAGTTCCCGTAGCAGGAACTGAGGTAAGCACTGTACACTACTGTTGGGGTATTCAGAAAATACCCCAGAAATTATCTAATGCTATTCCTGAATGAGAAGTAGTGTCATTTCCCCATTGGTCAACATTCTTCCAACGTTTCATCTCCTTATTGGTCAATATTTATTTGTGTCATTTCCTGAAGGTTAAATCTTGTACAACTGTTACTTTCTATTTATGGTACGATGTAGTCTGTTTGTTTGGTATATAAACAATGTATGTTTGAAATATAACGATTCATATCTCCGAGGCTGAGACTTGTGTTCTGGACTCAATTGGCTGGGCTAGACCATTGCTAACCTCCTCTTAGTGTTACATGCTGAATGTAAATATTTGCCATAATTATGCGCTCGGCTTCAAAGATCGTAAGTTTAGAAACCAATGCCACCACAGATATTCACAATGTTTAGTTTATTTCACTGTCATTATTATTGACAATTTTCTGCCTATATCACTCCTATTCGTTTAAATTCCTCGAAAATAGAAGGTATTGTGTAAAGGCTGATATTCAAAATTACCTTCAGAAAACTGTGTTAGAACTCTGTGTTGGGGACATGGAAAATAGATTTCGATATTTGTGTGCCGTTATGGGAAACAATATGAAAACTTACCTGGTTATCGAAATAAAACTTCAAAATCAAAGTTGTCACACACTTGATACAATTCTTGTTTATTGAATAAGAAACAAATACAGTAAATTAATGAAGTCACAAAAAACCAGAAACTAAACGAAACATAACTATCATATGTATATTACAGAGACAAGCTTAAGGCAACCGCAACTGATTATTATCTAGCTCTTAGAAAAACAGCACAGTTTTTATGAACAAATGGTACTTAAAAACAAATCTCAATCTTAAGTACGATTAGATTCAACATAGCTAACAAGTCTATTGGGGTCTTCTGTAGCTTGTTATTGTTGTAAGTTTGTCTTCACAACTATAGATTATCCTTGTTTCATGATCGTGTGAGGTATTCAAAATCATTCGGAAAATTTCCTCAACTGTTTTTAACTAGGCCTGAGCGTTTAAAGTAAAGACCAGGGTTCTCATCACGACTTGAAATAAGCTATAGTGTAAAAGTAATATGTACCCATATTGGTCGTTAAACTCATCCTTTCTTTTTCTTGCACCATTTTTTAACCCCCTTAAGATAATGAACGGGTGACCTCGTCCTGCACCAACATTAAAGCCCCAGATATTCCAAAGGGATCGATCATCAGTTGCACGTCACAAAGCAACTTTCATGAAGCGCGCCAACTGTGATACTGGCTAAAACCATTTACATTCATATCTTATAATTCATCAACCCAGCTGAGTAATTCACTGCAGTGGAAATTTATGTCATTTGTAATAGTTTGGTCTTGCCTGTAAACTGGCATGCCTCATGTAATAAACTGTTATTAGAGAATAAAATTATTATTATTATTATTGAAGATAAGAAATGTACTGTTAAATCAGTTAGTTCATAGAATGTAATGCCATTAGTTACGGATTCCTTTCATTGTTAACGATTAAGAATGAGGATTGCTGGAGTACCTATTCGCTTGTTATATGCAGTTTACAGAGACAGAATTAAGTATATAATGCGTTTAGCATTGATACATTTGTGCCGATTTGGGTGCTTTTAGCAGTAAATGAAAGTATTTCTATGCTTTCTGGAAACATAAGTTTCATTCTCTGTTGTAATTGGTTCGTTCCTTTTTTATACCTTTACTAAATGGTTAAAGTAACGTCGTGGAACATACATATCACATAAGGAAAATATTTTTCGGCAGAAAATTCAACTGTGATGATCAGACGTATTCGAATCATTGTACTAACTAGTTCACAAAATAGTGCAATTCGCAGCAAATAGAACTAGATGAGCACAAATGAACGTACAATATTTGGAATTCGAAATCGGCTGGTAATCAAGTTTAAAAGAATCAATAGATCGTGCAATCATCACAACGACACAATAAATTTATTATTTGTAAAGGAACCTCAAGCACGACCTATTGCAGTTTCAGTACTAGTCATCAGATGGAGTAGGTCAGTACGTTTTTTGTTAAGAATTACATGAACCGTTTTGTGTTATTTCTTTTCACTTGTCTTCTACCACAAAATTCACTTTTGAATCATCGAGATGTAACTGAAGCACAAATACGACCTTGACAGGCGCTAAATTACCTTGAGAAATAAATGAATTCCCTGCTTGATTTTTAAAGGCGCTATCTTAAAACTGGTTGGTTCAGTTTCGTCATTGTTTTGTTTTTATGTAATTACCTAATATTATAGTGCCGATATAGTTTATAGTGAATAGTTAACATGGTTGTCTAGAGATCTGGGTTCTCATTTTACTAGGCGCTCTAATTTTCATGTAGTTCCTTATTGTTTGTGAATGGGAAATATACCGTGTAATAGATGATCTGTGTCCTGTTGGTTGTGTTCACATTTTTCCAATATTTTCCTTTGAAGACAAGCGTTAGACACTAAGTCGGCTTTTTTCTGGCCTTCATTTTTTTGTTCAATGTTTGAAGAAACCGTAGTAACCCCACGACTATTGCTTCAAAATGTTTTCAAAATATGGTGTTGTCAAGTTTCTTAATAATCACTTGAAACATTCATCCACTCATCACTTTGTATGAATTTTTATTCACGCATAACCTCTTGATTTTAGTGTTTTTTTGCTTGTTATAGATGGTAGCTTGTATCGTTGCGGAGTTCCATATATTTTCATGTTAGGAATGTGTTGTGGTCTGCCTCTCTTTATCATTACTCGAAAAATGACGCAGTATGGGTGATGTTCAACTTCCGAACTTAGTAGTTTCCGATCACTTGCTGTCTATACGGATGCATTAGTGTATTTGAATATCACTGAACCACAACATACTGAGTGTACCATCATATATATGCAAATATTCTAGAGTTCCCCATGTATAAAGCTTATGATAACATTTTTGTTAACAGGGAATTCGAACCAATAAAATGTATCTACTCACTTAATCGTACCAACTATCCCATATATAACTCAAGCTTGTAATTTGTTTCCCTGATTTTTTCTGCTATGGCGTTTTTCATCGTTAATGAACCTGTCACTTTATTGTCATAAGTGGTATATTTGTTTTCCCAATCAGTTTCGATAAGTTTACTAGCATTTCATTGAGTATACTACAGCTGAATTTGATAGTGGATGTTTTGTGTAGGTTAGTAATAGTAACTTCGCCAAACATTTGTCATTTTTACTTATCGTGATCCTGCTTCAGACTACTAAAAACCACGTACTATTTTATGTGTTGTTCGAGGTATTGGGCTATTATTATTACAGTTACTTTACTCTATTGCTCTCAATTCCCATGGGTCCCATTTTTCGTTTCCAGTCACACTTTTGCACTATATTTAAGCTTTTGATTGGTTGGTTTAGATACTTAATTCATGCAACCTGTATATAACTTCTTTATCTATTGAAAGGCTGGAGCTATCACTAAAGTAGGATTCGCACGATGAGACTCATAGATTCATCCAGTCAGTCATATTCAACGTAGGATTTATCGCATATGTATGTTTGGTCAAGCTCACCACAGCACAGAGATACTATAGAAGCTTATATAGTAAGACAATTAAGAAACTCATGGTCTCAAGGGATACCAAATGTGAAGGGACCTAGGCCATTGCGAATGGTTTAAACAATATCATCCAACATGTCTAACCACTGGTTACGAAGATCGTGTGGACACCAACCAGGTGATCTATATCTACTTACACGGTTCAGCGTAACAGTGTAACTTCATGAACTGTTACCACGTTTAGGTTTGTCTTCTCCCAGGTTTCTTCCAACTTATTCTTACACCAACCATCCTTTCATATTGAGGTATGCGATGGTTCCATCCACCTCAGTCGATGAAGACTATTTTATCGATCGATTTACCATCCTTACCTAATAGCCTGTGTCCAATGTCAACATTGCTCATTCGATAATCTTTAAGTATACGAGCAGTGCTTAGAGCTCACCTATGATTGGTTACTGGCAACCCACAAATGTTCTCTCCATTTGAAAGCCAAATTTCACATATCTAGTTAGAATAGAGTTAACTGTTGCAGAGTAAACTCGTCATTTTGTTGGCAGACGGATATTTTCCTAAAGCCTTAAGTAACGTTTTGGGTAACACCAACCGAGCTTTCTGGATCCGTATCGAGACTCTGAAACCCGCCAACCCATTAGGGCTAATGAGATGTCCAAGATAAGTGAAGGTATCGACTTGCTCAATTACTCCACTCTTTACCACTAGTTAGTGCACCAAGGTAGCCCAGTCTTGGAGAAGCATTTTGTATTTAGAAAGAGACAGACACATCCCAGACGTGCTTGTATTGTTGCTCAAGGCGACCAAAAGACCTTGCGTCTCGTCAGTGTCTTCGCCGAATAGGACTCTCATCTGCCTGTTCTTAGTGGACAAACGAATTTCCTGGTAGATCTGTTTCTGTGAAGCCATATAATGAAGGGATTGTATGTAGAATATCTACAACAAAGTTAAATAAACGGAGTGGATAACTCGGACAAACACCTTAAGATTGACATTTCTGATAACAGTTCACCATAAGCTCTAATCCGAGTGGTAGTGTCCAAGTAGAGCCTGTATGAGGTTACTGTACTCCCTTGGCACACTTTTCAATCCCAGACACTACCATATAATCTGTCTATCTACGGAGTGTAACGTTGCCTTGAGGTCAGAAATACAATTATTACTGAGAGTTGCTGGGTATGTCTGTTTCGGAACCTCATGAAGGGAAAATATCTGATCTGCACATCGACTTCCAAGTCTGGAATTAGCCTAGGTTTTTGGGTTTGGTTTTCACGAGCTCTAGCTAAGACTAATGATTATCAAGGTTAATAATTTAGACACTACTAGTCAAACTGGTTCCATTAGGTCTGTTACAAGAGGATTTCTGTCATTCCTTATTTAATGAAATTATCGGCGATTGAGATCAATCAGATTGGTCTACTTCCAGTTCCCGAATAAAAGCTAATATTTCAATTGATTTAACCGTCAACATTCAGCCACTATTTTTAAGGATCTCCAGCGTTAATCCATCTGAGCCTTAACCATTATAACTACTGCATCCGATCTGGTGGTTAATTTAGGTATGGGTTGTGTGTTTTATCTGAAAAGATATTCTGAAAGATTTATGCTTTTACTGTATGTACTGACCACGAGTACATCAAACTAACCATCCAACGTAAATGTGTTAACTACTTTCTGAGTGAAGTTCTATACACCACTAAACAATATAGTACATTGTCACCAATAAGTAAATGTGCCTAGCTTTTCCGTAGGTTTTAAAAACTCCTGAGCGTTGAAGCTGCCTTGACGGTGATGATCGGATTTGCCTATCGTGATTAACCAATCGGGCTATTCAGGTTGGAGCAATCGTTCCTCAAGGTTCTACCATGTTAGGTAGGTCAATCGGAGAGCAGTAAGACTAAAAGCAACAAACGCAAGGTCTGAGGGTAAAATTGTACTTCTGAAACTAAAGAAGTGTGGTGGCAGTAAGGTGTTTCCTTTAGACAGCCAGTATAACAGCGATGCTGTCTTTCTACAAAGAAAGGGTGGGGTTAGAAAAGGTCGACCCTAAAAATGCACATCTTACCTGATCCCACGGATTTCGGTCTCCGGCTGTCAGGTATCAGCAAGCACAAAAATTACCCACAAAAGAGTCGCGTGTGACAGACCTCAAACAGTTGTACCTTGGGCACTACTGTCGCGACCTCAGGTCACTAAGACCACCTCTAATCCAATTTCCTTTTCAGATACCTATAGAAGAACCCTTCCATGGTGTGGGCAACCGGGAAGTGATAATCGCCGTCATGCTTCTAACGGCACTCAAGACCACTGTATTTATAATCAATTTCCTCCCTAATTTCTATTATTCCTCCTACATCGACTATCAACTCTAAACTTCCTCTTCAAGTGTCATCATAGCTAACGATTCTAGTGCCCAAAATATTGTCTCAAGTCTACCGGAACTTCGCTCCAAACTACACATTGGAACTTTCAACGTAAGTACCCTGTGTCAAATAGACCAGAAGATTTCCTTGGCTAAGACCCCAGAATTTCGTACCACTAACGAATGCTGTGTCCGAAAAATGCATACAGGATCCTAATATGGTCATTCACTTGACCTCACCTAGCCAAAAAGGAAAAGCCAATGGGATACACCCTCCGTTTATCTGACAACCCGACGGTAAGTTGTGGACTAGCGGGTGTAGGCATAAGACTAAGTATGGGGGCAGAAGAGGCACTTCTAGAATGGATACCTGTAAACAGTCGCCTACCTGCTGTTCAGCTAAATGGCTCCAAAAAGGCGGCACTCTTCTCTGCTCTCAGCCCAGACGTTTAGAACGATGGTCGGGACTCTTTAAGGAGCAGTTCGGCTGGCCTTCGGCTACTCTACAGCTACCCGTCATTTTCAAACAGCCTGAATGGAATATTGAAATAGGATCCCCGACTCCAACTGAAATTCAAAAAGATATAGTTAATCTGATCCAGCTGATCCAGATGTACTAACTCCAGGAATCTTATAGTATGGTAGTCCAGTTTTAGCGATTAGGTTGACTAATATTCTAGCTAAAATGTAGGAACTGGGCGTCATCCGATCTGACTGGTCGCTGGGTATGTCTGTTTCGGAACCTCATGAAGGGAAAATATCTGATCTGCACATCGACTTCCAAGTCTGGAATTAGCCTAGGTTTTTGGGTTTGGTTTTCACGAGCTCTAGCTAAGACTAATGATTATCAAGGTTAATAATTTAGACACTACTAGTCAAACTGGTTCCATTAGGTCTGTTACAAGAGGATTTCTGTCATTCCTTATTTAATGAAATTATCGGCGATTGAGATCAATCAGATTGGTCTACTTCCAGTTCCCGAATAAAAGCTAATATTTCAATTGATTTAACCGTCAACATTCAGCCACTATTTTTAAGGATCTCCAGCGTTAATCCATCTGAGCCTTAACCATTATAACTACTGCATCCGATCTGGTGGTTAATTTAGGTATGGGTTGTGTGTTTTATCTGAAAAGATATTCTGAAAGATTTATGCTTTTACTGTATGTACTGACCACGAGTACATCAAACTAACCATCCAACGTAAATGTGTTAACTACTTTCTGAGTGAAGTTCTATACACCACTAAACAATATAGTACATTGTCACCAATAAGTAAATGTGCCTAGCTTTTCCGTAGGT